AAACATATGAAAAAATGCTCAACATCTCTAAGCATCAGGGAAATGAAAATCAAAACCACAATGAGATATCACTTATCTCCAGTGAGAATGGCCTTTATCAAAAAGTCCCAAAACGATGAATGTTGGCCTGGATGCGGAGACATAGGAACACTCATACACTGTTGGTGGACTGTAAACTAGTACAACCTCTGTGGAAAGTAATATGGAGATACCTCATAGAACTACAAGTGGAACTACCATTTGATCCAGCAATCCCATTACTGGGCATCTATACAAAAGAACAAAAGACATTCTATACAAAAGACATCTGCACTAGAATGTTTATAAGAGCACAAATCACAATTGCAAAGATGTGGAAATAACCCAAGTGCCCATCAATACATGAGTGGATTAATAAAATGTGGTATATGTATACCATGGAGTTCTACTAAGCCACAAAAAGCAACGATGATCTAGCACCTATTGTATTAACCTGGATAGAGCTGGAGCCCATTGCACTGGGTGAAATATCATGAGAATAGAAAAACAAGCACCACATGTACTCACCATCAGATTGGTATTAACCAGTCACACATAAGTGCATACATAGTAATAACATTCATCGGGTGTCTGGCAGGTGGGAGGGGGGAGGAGGGGATTGGTATATTCACACCTAATGGTTGCGGTGTGCACCGTCTGGGGAGATGGACACACTTGAAGCTCTGACTCGGGTGGGGCAAAGGCAATATACATAACCTAAACATTTGTACCCCTGTAATATGCTGAAATAAAAAAGCCTGTATTACTAAATATGAATAGACAGACAATACTCAAAAGACATTTAAAGAAAATCCTTACCCCCCCCACACGCAAATACAAAGAATACAGAGATATCAAACAACAGATCATTAAAGAATAAAGAATAAAGGTACTTTAAAAATTACACTTTGAGGCACTTTCACTGTCTCCCAAAAGAAGGGACTACCAAGTCTTGTCAGTTTCTTTATCAATCACTGGTTATGTTAATTCCTCTTCTAGTTCAATCATAATCCCATTTGGACTCTATGAAACCTAAAAACTAAATTATAAAGGTAAAACTCAATTAACTGCAGCTAAGTGAGTTATGAGGTATAACAGTAGGGCAGACATCCTTGGGTTTCAGAACTATGGAATCTAGGAAAAAGGGGATATTAGTCACCGGTCCAAAAGCATACACACATCCCTCAGTATAGTACCTAAACTTCACAGGTTGCTGTTTCCCATATGGTCCCATACTGAGCCTTCAATAGACAAATACACCATTCTATAAGTCCAGCTGTTTCTTGTTGATGGAATAAGCGATAACACCAATGAGTTGCTTAGCCATTAGCTCATTGCTACTATTTGAAAATGAGTCACTTGTTCAGAAGAAATGTATTTGGTACCACAATACTAAAGAGGACATCCCAAATGTTCATGTATATGATTTCTGTTTCTTGTTAGGATGTAAAGGAATGTTAAGAAATATTTGCTTCTGCAGTAACAACAGGAAAATGCAAAAAGATAAATATTATATTCTTTATGCAATTACAGAAGAGAGCTGGATGCAAGAAAATCTGAATAAACTGCATATCAGATAGAAATGAGGCTTTCATGTGTGAGCACAGAGTCAGAGCAGCCTCTAAACCTGGGGACAGGTGCTTCATCTAGATATGAAGGAATGAAAGAATATGTCTGCCACAGAAGGAGAGATGAGATAACCTAAGCCCTGTATGAAAATGAGTCAAAGGAATGGACTGGAATCTGGAAAAACCCCAAATATAAAAATAAATGATATGTTCAACAATCACCCTACACACACACACATCATGCCAAGAAATCAGCAGTGAAAGTGAAGCTAGAAAACACAATGAAATCAAGTAGTCCATGTATTCTGGCATTCCTTAGATTTAAGGACCCTGCCAATGAATCAAAAAATGAACAAAAATACACAAT